GGGGGGGGGGAACCCTCCCCTTAGGGACGCGGGGCTCAAAGTGGGGAGGGGCTTAAGGAGGCTCTTAAAGGGGCCGCGGGGTGGGTGAGTGTGGGACGATGTCGTTGAGCGATGGCACAGGAGTGAGTGGGCGTGTGTGAATAAGTGTGCAACAGTACACGTGTGAGAGCGAATGTGCAGTCGCACACGTGTGTGTGTAAATGAGTGTACAATGGCACGTAAGTGTGAGCGTGCAACGGCATATGGATGTACGAGTGTGAATAAGTGTGCAATGACACACGTGTGTATGTGTGCAAAGGCACGGGCCCAAATGTGTGTGTGCAATAGAACAGGGGGGTATGAGAGAGAATGACTGCAATGGCACACGTGCGTGTGTGCAATGGCACACGAGCAAGTGTGAGTGTGCAAATGCGTGTGCCGAGTGTGCAATGGCATGTGAGTGTGTGTGAGTGAGCAAGGGCACACACGGCCTCTGTACCTCTGCGCAGCTGCTCGTCAGCCCATCATATGTGTGGCCACGTTCACACGTGAGTGTGCATGGGCCTGGCATGTCCTCACACACGCGTGCAAGAGACACACAGATACACGCGAGCAGAACATAGACATCACCCACAGACACGCGTGCAGGAAATACATACTCGTTTTCTTACAAATTACAATCCCAAATATGAATTCTAATACCGACTACAATACCTGTTCTCATTAAGAGTCCTCTTCCCTGTTAAGTCCTTTACCCATCCTGATTTTAAGTCAGAGATGCAAACCAAGCGCTGCTGCTCCCAGAGCCTTTATACCTTCTGGGATCAAGCTCCTCCCTTTCCCCGGGGCCTCATGGGAAGGGAGGTGGGCAAGGCCAGGGGTATATGAATCCCAGCCTTTGGTCAGAGAGTTCATTTAGCAGCCGGGCTTTAATGAGGTGAGAGCTGTCCCTTTCTTTCAATGAATGGGACTTCTGAAGCTATTTCTGCTTTATTGAAGCATCAGCTTTGGTATCCAAAGAAGCAGGGCTGTATGTGGCAACGAAGAGGATTACACTCAAATGCAGGGTTTTTAAATTTAATCGTTTTGTGTGCTGTGTTCAGAGATGGCAAGGTGCTTTTGTAATTTGTTATCTTTTTTTTTTCCTTAGGAGCCTTGCATCTTTCGGGATCTCCTGATCATCTCAACTACAGCTTGGCATTTTTTCACAAGTGTGACCTGGCCCCGAGGTGAAGCTACTCTGTGTTGAAGATGGCTACAGACACCCGGGTTTGCAAGTAGTCGGTGGGGGGTTACAGCCTAGAGAGAGAGTGAGGGCTGGGGTATCAGGTTAGGAATTGCCAGGGGTGTTTTGAAGGTAGTATAGGTAGAAAGCAGTGTCCAGGAAGAGACCCCTAAGTGCCTGTGAAGACATCCACTGAGTTTTCATATGTGCTCCTAAGGTTTTTCTCTCATTTGTCCAGATATTCTGTGTGATGATGGCCGCAGTCTTCAGCTGCAGGCAGTGACCCTGGGTGGTTTGCCTAAAGAGAAGAGAGACTCCTTCAGCTCTCCCTGTGCACCTGGGTGACTTCGGTAAATCATTTCTTTACAGTGTCAGAGGGACAGGGTGTAAAGCAGAGTTGAACAGAACAGAGGCCAGAGGAGCAAAGCAAGAAGGTGGGACATCACCTGACATCAGCACAAAGATGTGGCTTTTGGCTCCACGTTTACTGGATGTGTTAAGGATTTCATTGTTTGGGTTTGTTTTTTCTTTGTTTTCAACTGCAGAGCCCTGGGCCCAGGAGGCTCTAGGCACAGGAGGGGTGGTGATCCAGGTGAGTCCCAGTGAGCAAGGTGAGCATTGACTCCAGGACAGGACTAGATGATCTTTTCCAGGTGTTGTGGTGAATCTGTGCACATGCTTTGTTTCTTGTGTTTTGCAGGGGTTCTGCCACCTTCTAATAGAGAGACCAAGGCTTCAGGGCCCCTGTGGGTAAGAGGTGACTGTGGAGGAGAGGTAGGTAGGAGCTACCCCAGGAAAGCCATCCTTTCAGGCAGTATCTCAGTATGTACATTTGCCTTTCGTTTCTTTACTTTACAGTAGAATGTGTGCAGCCTCAGAGGGCCGGAGCCACCTGCCAGTTTAGGTTTGATGGTCTTCAGCTGTCCTTGTGAGTAATGTCCTAGTCCTATGAGGCTCATCAGTTAAGGCTGGACCTTTTCCAGTTGCAGGTGCCATCCGTCCTGCCTTTGGCAAAGGAGGAGCTTACTTTGTATCGTTGGATTCAGTTGTGCAGGGCAGAGCAGTTCCGGTCTGTGTCACATCCTCTGTCTGATCCATATCTTGTGTCCTTCTTCTCTTAATTGTGTCACATGGTGTGTGTCGTCACAGGTGCGGGGTGTCTCACTTGGGGTGAGCCTGGAACTGCTCTGCCCTGCTACGTGGATCAGTGGGTAGATAGAATATTGCTCAGAGTCTCCCATCAACATGTCAGTTACCTCAGGCAGTGGAGCCGATGGCTGTACGGTCCTGCCGGATGGAGCGGGTGTACATAACTCGTGTGCCATCGTTATAGCCGAGTGTTGTGGAGCTGATGGTACTTGGATAGCGGGGCCTCAAAGCTGGGTTGTCATTTGTATTCTTGTAGGCTGCGGTCAGAGTTCTCACTCGCTCAGTGGAAATGAGTTCTTTTAAGTGGTTAAGATCTCAGTGACCATGGGGGTGACCTGACTAACCCTTTGTTTTTTGTTGGTTTTTTTTTTTCAGATAAGCGGACACAATGTACCCCAGACCGAGACCAGTTGAAGCAGCCTGGTAAGAAGGTTGTATTAGGTGTTGGATGCAGGATGTCAGTTTTAGCCATAGGAGTCCTTTATCTTGTGCCTTTTTGTTTTTTATTTTCCAGATGGGCCCAATCAGGCTCGAGGCATAGCGGCTCAGCAGGGAGACGAGCGAGGTGAGAATTTTACTCCCCAACCGGGTTTGGAGTTAGTTTGAGAATGTTGTCTATGTGGTCAATCTATGCATCTATGTTGTAGCTGTTTAATTTTTTTTCCAGGCGATACACAACCCTTTGCCCGTCTGCTACAGGTGCCGAAGGTCCATCCGATAAGAGGTCAAGCTGAAGGAGCCGAGATAGCCAGGATGAGGCAGTACGTGAGCACAAACCTCCGCGTCCGTGTTGTCTCGCAGCGGCCGTCTGTCCACTTCAGGGTGTGTAGCAACGCTTTGGCGTGGAGTCCGATGGACTTTAGAGATTTTTGGCTTTCCTTGAGAGCCATCCCTAAATGTTTGAGAGCTCAGTGTTTGAACATTTACCCCTTTCATTTGCAGGGGAGGCCTTGGGAGCAGCTGAAGAGAGAGGAGCCTTCTAGGTGAGGCGGGGAGGCAGCAGGAGGAGCAGGGATCCACTGCAGCTTTAGAGATGCATTCTAATGTTGTGTCTCACTGATTCAGGTATCCCGGAAGGTGACAGCCACAGTGTCCGACTCCGGTCTGGCCTCGGTGATGGTGAGTAGGGGGATCACTGGGGTTCGAGCCCCATGGCACACAGCTCACATATCGCTTCTGGTTTTCTTTCTTGTAGTTGACTTGGAGTACTCTCATGATGACAGGAACCTCTGAGCCAGCCCAGGTGCCCCTCCTCTGCATCAAAGATGGATTCACATCCCCGGCTGTCGGCAAGATAAGTGCAGGGCAAAGACCCAGAGAGGGGTTGGGAGTCGGTGCAAGTGTGTGCCTCACCTGGAGGGATTTTTGAAATTAGTCCAGTGAAGTGAATAACCTGTAACAGGTTATTTGGACACATGGAAGGAAGGGCTTACTTTGTATCATTGGATTCACGTGTGCAGGGCAGAGCAGTTCCGGTCTGTGTCACGTCCTCTGTCTCATCCATGTTTTGTGTCCTTTGTCTCTTAATTGTGTCACATGGTGTGTGTCGTCACAGGTGCGGGGTGTCTCACTTGGGGTCAGCCTGGAACTGTTCTGCCCTGCTACTTGGATCAGTGGGTAGATAGAATATTGCTCAGTCAAACATCAACATGTCAGTTGATGGCTTTACAGTCTGTGAGCAGGATTGTCTTGCGATGCCCTGCTTGGGTGTATAGAGTCACAGCTAGGTAGAGTAGCAAACAGTGTCTGTGGTATGGGCACTTGTCAGGGGTCTTTGGGCTTACAAAATGTATAGGCTCGGTTCAGGGGGTAAGTCCAAGGTCACAGAAGGCACACTTCAGAGTCCCTCCCCTTTTGTCTTACAGCCACCCAAAGCAACCTCAGATTCCCACGGTGAAAGACGGCATCAGTTTTCCTGGAACTTACGGCGACCGGGGCGAGATCGACCGAATGATCGTCGATGGAAACTTCTGAGAGCCACGGGGAGTCCCCGCCCAATGACTTCTGGACTGCATCGTATAGCATTGTATACATTTATTTAGTGTTGCAGGTTGCTTCTCAGTTGTAGTTACTGTATTTTGCAAGTAGAATAGGCAGAGTTCAGTCGCCGTTTATGTTGTCATTTGTACCGCCTCATACTGCTCTGTATCATACACTTGTATAGTTGTAGTCATATCGGTCCGTGTCCGAATGTCACAGCGTCGTGTTCCGTGCGTCAGGAATCGTACATCTTTGCGCCTTTGTTTGTAGCACTTGTCATGGCACTTGTATTGCCATGTAGCGTTCTGTCTGGTATACTTGTATCTTTGCAATTGTATTGCTCTGTATGTGAATGTCATAGTGTTGTATTGCCATGCGTCAGTTAGGAATCGTATAGCTTTGTACCTTACTTTGTTTTGCTTTACATGTTGCGTCATTGATACTGTCTTGTAATGCTGTGAGGGGATGCGTGTTTTGTCAGGCTTGGCAATTTGTTTCTTGTTGGTTTGTTGTTGGTTTTTTTTTTTTTTTTTTGTGGCTCCACAGGAACCACGTTCCCGAGGGAGCGTTTTGAGTGTGCGCCGATATTCAGGGTTGGCTTGCGGCTTTGGGGTATGGTGGAGGTGTGGTGATGGAGGGGATGGGTGTGTGTAATGTAGTCTTCTAACCTTGTGTTTGTATTGTTTCTCTTACAGGTTTTTTTTACAGCATTTTAGCTTTAGAATAAAAAAACCCCAGCCGGGGGATTTTTTTTTTTTTTCCCTCGGCTGGGGTTTTTTTTCCTAGGTCCCGGCCGGTCTGCGAGGCGATGTTCATCGCCAAAGTTTGGGTGCAGGCCGTCCCGGGACCCGGGTTTTGCCAGGCAGGCCAATTTTTTGATTTTTGCGGCTCCTCGGAAACCCCCTTCCCGAGGCAGCATTTTCAGTGTGCGCCGATATTCAGGGTTGGCTTGCGTCTCAAGGGAGGGGTGAGAGTGTGGTGATGGAGGGGTTGGGTGTGTTTAATGTAGTATTCTAACCTTGTGTTGTTTCTCTTTCAGGATTTTTTACACCATTTTAGCTTTAGAATAAAAAAACCCCTTGGCTGGGGTTTTTTTTCCTAAGTCCCGGCCGGTCTGCGAGGCGATGTTCATTGCCAAAGTTTGGGTGCAGGCCGTCCCGGGACCCAGGTTTTGTCAGGTAGGCTGATTTTCTGATTTTTTGAACCTTCCCAGGAACCACGTTCCTGAGGGAATGCTGTAACTTGTTTGCTAACCTGTGTTGTAAACTGTATTATTGTAACTTGTATGCTGTCCTGCGTTGTAACTGACTTGTATGCTGTCCTGTGTTGTAAACTGTATTGTACCCTGTATACTAGCCTTGTGTAATTTCACAAGGTCACAAGCAGTCATTCAATAAAGTTGCAATAAAGGTTTGGGGACTTTTCCCCTCTTTGGGGGTTTTCCCCCTTTTTGGCTCCTGTCTTTATTTTCTGTCATGTAGTCTTTTCTCTTTTTTCTCTTCTTTCCCTTGCTCCTCTTCATCTCTCTTCTCTTGCTTTCATTTCTCTTAGTCACTTCTCTTAGTCTCCTCCCTTACTCTCTTGTCTTGCTTTTATTTCTCTTAGTTTTTATTTTATTTCTCTTAGTTTTTATTTTATTTCTCTTAGTTTTTTTCCTTGCTTTTCTTTTGCTCACTTTAGTATAAAAAGCAGCAGTAAGGGGGCTGGCTTGCTCTCAGGGAGTAAATCTTAGAAAAGAAAAAAATTAATTTTAAAAATTAATTTTAAAATAATTAAAGATTTACTCCCCGAGAGCAACCCAGCCCCCCTACTGCTGCACAGGACATATTTTTATTCTTTTTTTTTTTTTATATACTATATAGACACTAATTACCCTTCCTAATTCAATTACTTCATCAATACATATGCAATGAATTAACAACACTAATCACATGCTAATTAAGTAATTAATTTTTTTCCCACCCCCTCGTTACCCTAATGAGGTAATTAAT